CATAGGCACAATATGCTAGGCAAAAAGATGCCAAAAAGTGTCAGACACAAGTGCCAAATAGTACTAAACATATAATTAATTAATAAATAAAAAATTTTTATGCTCATGCTCATGCCTATGCCAAGTTTTTATGCTTGTGCCCATGCCTATGCCAAATTTTTGTGTCTGTGCCCATGCCTATATCATATTTTTATATTAGCATTCATGCAAATACCAAAGCTTTTATGTTTATACCTATGCCTGAATTTTTGTTAGGCATAGGCATGAGCCCAGGTTGCAAACTCCTAGTGATTAGTAATAATATATAACAAAATTTTGCTAAATTTTCTTAAACTTTAAATTTAGTTTTCTTGATGACTAGTAATCCAAATTAGCTCAAATTTTTATTATAAATAGTATATATATTAAACTATTTTATACTAAAGTTTTAGCAAATTTAGATTAATAGTTTTTAAGAAATCACTTATAAATAATAGTTAATTTTTTTAAAAAAATTAATTATTATTTACAAGTAATTTTTTAAGAACTATTAATCTAAATTGGCTAAAACTTTAGTATAATATAATTGAATATATATATTATTTATAATAAAACTTTAAGTAATTTGGATTACTAGTTATCAAAAAAACTAAATTTAAAGTTTAAAAAAATTTATTAAATTTATACAAATTGTTAATAATTAATAGTAATTATTATTTTTTTTATTTTTTTTTTTAAGCAGTTATCTCTTAAACTATCTAGTTTAGCAGACAAATTTGCCCACTAAAATAATTAGAAAAAATTAACTCCTAAAAAATTTTTTTTATAAAATATTATTCCGAATTGGTTAGAATAGCTTCTAGAAATACGAGTCACATGATAATCCAGTAATTATGTTATGATGCATGTTATGTGACCCAAACAAAGGACACAAATTAAAATGTGCATAAAATACCTTGCTTACATCGTAAAATATATCAGTAGAACTGAATTACTTAGATCGTTTTGTAAATTTAGATTTAAATTATTAAGATCTAGGCAAAATAAATTTATTATGTAATGTGGGTACTTAGTCATAATAAATTTTAATTTATTAAAATAATTAAACTTGCATCATTTAATTATGCAAATAAAATTTTTTATTTGTAAAATTTTAAGGCCTAAATTCTTAAATTGAAATTGATTCTTCAAACGCTCTTATTTATATAAAACTAAGCATCTAAAGATTATGTTTCAATTCCATTTTGATAGCATAAACCAACTTGAAACCCCAATCTTGCTTTAATTACATAAACGATTCACTAACATCTCCCATCTTAACAGACTTTTGCTAATGAATAAATGGCCTATGTTTGTCTTTTTCAGCCCCTATTCTGTTTTGATAACAATCTGCAAGGTTATATATTGCAGTAGTATTACTTATCTCTGCAAATTTTTTCAGTGTTATCATTTTTGACATGAAAATCTAAAAAACAATTTCGATGGTTATTGCAGCAGAGAGGTACATTACACATAGTATACCAAAGCTGGCTCTGGTGCAGTGTTTTACGATCCAAGTCCAAATTTTTTTTACTTGCCCACCATGCATACCACAAACATGACTCTCGCCTCTGTCTCCACTCTAAAAAATGGTTGCCAGGCACAAACTGTTGGTTTGGAAGCTCGAAATGCTTTGTCACCTTTTGCCACTTGGGTTCTTCTTTTTTTTCGTTCATTTTTTTTTTTATTTTTTTTTTTGACCCATCTCTTAACCGAATTTTACCAACATTATTTGCAAGATTTATTAAATCCCAAACAAGTTCAAGGCGAAATTCCTTTTGACCTTGCATTGAACCTAAGGTTCAGGTGATTCGATACATATTTACAATCATGGTATCCAAAAGCCAAAAAAAAAGCAGCATCCAGTTCCTTCGTACCATTTGCTGGGTATTATAATATGACCGCAGTTGGTCTGCAACATTTACACCATTCATGTAATGGTTGTAATCATCTATTATCTTGGGGATCTTTAATACTTTCTTTGATTGAGAGCCAAATACTGCATGCACTTTTGTTGCATTAGTGCTAGTTTCCCTTGGCCACCATCGTACTTGTTCTATTTCCCACTCATTGCCAACAAGACTATGTATTGTTGACAGCATTGTGACTGAACCATTGTCCTGCCAGAACACAGCCAACACCCTATTTTTTATGACACCAGAATGTACGTCTCAATTAAGCTGAATATTTTTTTCCATCTTCAGTTCTTTTGGGAACCCAGAAGCTGTTTTTTAAACTGTCTCACAGGAGCCAACACCAATTTGCTGAAGAGCCTGAAAAAGAGGAATATTAAAAAAGTAGTTATCCATGTAAATGTTGTATGGAAGTCGATTATATGAAAGCTACGTGACGAGATGATAAACTTGACATCTGGTTTGGTTAAGCCTACCCACTTTTTCTACATCACTTGGGTAAATACAGGAAGTTGGCAAGAAAGTATATGTATATCCAGATTCACAAAGTGACAAAACCTTGTATCCTTCTGGAATTGGTTTGTTTTTGATTTGGACAATGTGAACACTTCTTCCTGAAAATCTGATCATCATCTCGTTAATCGAAACATTTGAACCTGGTGTGTAGAGTCATTTTAAGGTATCTCGAACATGTGAGAGCAATGGTTCCAATTTATTAAAATAGTTTTTGGCCACTACTGCTAGGAGAAGATATGCAAATATCTTTTGATTTGCTCAAAATGCTTCAACAACATTTGCTTCGAAATATGGTGAAGGGGGAACTTTGGGTCTTCGTTCCAATATTGATTAAGGGAAGGCAGCTTAAAAACACCCTGATAAATGACCAGAGCAATCCAAACAATGAGCTTCTTATGGTCTATATTCGTCCACTGCCTACTAGTAAGAACATCAGCGCCATTAATTAATGCATATGAATTCGTATTGATGGCTATTTGATCCAATAAATTGTTGATAAAAAAATAAAAAAAAAAATTGACTGGTTTTGAGAAACTGACTTTATGGTATGGGGGCAAATTCATGAACTCTTTGTGAAGCTGTTTTGGATGGGCTAGTGGCTCAAAATTTGTAGGTGATAGTGGCAACTTTGCTTGCCTGCGATCTCTTTTGCGAACTCTTTTGTCATTCTCTTCCTCTTCTTTATCCTTATTGTCAGATTTCGGGTTAGTTAAAAAATGCTAGTAGGATGTCATAAGTGCTACATATTCTTCCTCATTATCATCATACATTTCAGTACTTTCAGGTAGGAGGGCGACAAACTCATAGACATAGTTGTAAAAAAAAAAAATTTTACAACACTCACTTTTAGAGTTAATAATGATCATTGTTTTTTTAAAGTTTACCATTGTACTACTTACATGTGACCTGAATGTTTAGTGTGCTTCTAAGCATGTAAGATGAAATCACGTGTCGATGTACAAAATGATTTTTACCTAGAATAGGAGGGGAAGTTGCTTAAGAAATTTGGGCACAATTTTACCAAATTAGGCAAAAAAAGATTTTAGTAGGCAAATTTGCCCACTGGACAGTTTAAGGGATAGTAGTACTTTATTAAATTATTTATAACTACATATGTAAATACAGAATATTATTTAACTTATAAGTCTACTATTTATTTTTTTTTTAATATTAATGATAAGGCCATGTCTCTATCTTTATTAAATATTTAACTGAGATTTTTATATAAAGTTTAAATCTATTTTTAAAATATTATAACAAGAATAAAAGCTTAAACTAATTTATCTGTAACCTAAACCAACTAGAGTGGCCAAGACTTACCTAGATTTGAGTGTTAGTAATAATGTATAAGAGATTAGTTTGATATTTAATTCATTATATATACCAAGAATTAATCTTAGAGCTAATAGTATTAAGAGAAAGAGTTTGCACTAATTGTGAAATAGAATTAAAAGATAAATCAGAAGTAGGAATATGAATTGTAGATCTTGAAATACAATAAGGAATTCAAATTTTGTGATAAATTTGTTGATTAAGATGAAGTAAGAATTTAGTAATAAGTGATATAGATATTTTTGTAAATGATAAGTCTGTAACTATAATAATGATTTTATTTGGTACTAAGCCTAATAGAGTTGAGGAAATTGAAGGTAGGTTTGATATACTGTGACTAGACATGCAATTTAGTTGTTTGATTTGATGGTGTAAATTAGTTATAACTTCTGAAGTAGTATTAAGAGTAGTAATATTAAGAGTATATTGTAATGATTTATTTATAAGATTATTTAATAGTTGATCAAATGGGCAAGTTGTTCAAT